ATGAGAGATGTCGCGGGTTTGAAAGAAGGATCACAGTTTTTGGAACTCGCCTCCACTGTCACTAAAAACGCGACGAATAGTGGTATGGAAATAGTTGGTAATCATAGTGACGAAGGTAGTGAAAACATGGTAAACATCAGATTTACGGGATAAGGGATATAGCCATGTGTAGCGGGTAAAATAATCGACAATCACCAAGTAATATGTGAAAGAATCATGAGATAAAACAGAGGAGGGTCCCCAAACATCCATGTATAGCCGATCAAATGGACGAGTGTTGGTTAAACTAGAAACATCAAAAGGAAGTTTATGGCTTTTATGAAGCAAACATGACTCGCAAGAGTGACAAGAGGAAAGGTGAGATGTAGGGAGAGACTGATTACGAAGTAGTCGAGACAACAATTTAGTGTTGGGGTGGCCAAGGCAATGGTGCTAAGTGGTGGCAGAAGTTGTGACTGCATACAGGGCGAGTTTAAGAGGCGAGGAATCCACTTGCAGCTCATACACATCGTCTTTATTCTGGCCGCGTAGAAGAGGCGCCGCCGTAGCTAGGTCCTTCGCAAAAAAAAATTCAGAAAAGAATTCCACTGAAACTTGGTTAGTTTTACATAATTGTGCAACAGAGATGAGCCGACGTTTAATAGCTGGAACAGAAAGAACATCGTAGAGTTTTAAACAAGAGGAAGGAGAGGAGAGAGAGGTACTGCCAACGTGAGTAATTTTCAGACCTGACCCGTCACCTACAAGAACTTCATCGGGGTCAATGTAGTTGATGTAGAGAGAGACGTCGCCGAGATCAGGAGTGACATGGTTGGTCGCCGCTGAGTCGAGTAGCCAGCTAGAGGAAGATGAGCTAGTGGTGGTGGTGTGATGAGCAGATGGGCGGCCCCCTGATCTTGTAACATTCTTTGGCAGTATGGCCGACTCTGTCGCAGAATTGACAGAGGGGACGAGGGCGGCCGAGCCGGGACAGAGCAGAGGACGCTGCCGTAGGGCTGGAAGGACCACAAGAGGGAGAGTTTCCATGATATAATGATTCATACTAGTAAGGGGAAGCAACCTGCAGAGGATAGCGAGAGCTACCACGACTACGAGTGGGTGGAGATGAGCGACCACTTGCAGATGAGAACGCGATCATAGGAGCCATCGCTGAAGGGGAGTGATGTGCCACAAAGTCAGCTTCGAAGTCAACCAGACGATCATGAAGATATTCGAGGGAAATTGTGGTGTCACGAGCGCGTAGAGCAGCAGAGAGAGGACCATACTCCTCGTGCAGACCGCGAAGAATATGGAGAATGATATCATCATTCGCCATAGGAGATTGAACAAGAGCTAATTCCGCCGCTGTTGTGCGCATAGCTTGAAGGTAGACAGCGACAGGGTGAGATCCTTGGGTTTCACGATCAAGTTTTGTCTTGAGATTCATAACACGTTGCCTAGATTGGCTGGAAAACATACGATCCAGGATGAGCCAAGCATCACAAGAAGAGGTTGCGGTAGTGACATAGGGTGCAACGGAGGGAGAAATAGAAGCCAAGATTGAGTGAAGAAGCGGTTGGTTTTGGCGAATCCAGCAAGTGCGAGTTGCAGCTGGAGTGTCGGAGGCGGGTTCCGGATGAGACCCATCGAGGAACTTCAGTAGGTCAAGACCACGGAGAAGAGTCATGAGCTGAGCGCGCCAGGTAGGGAAGTTATCGCCGGTGAGCTTGTTGGGCAATTGAGTGGCGGGATTGAGGGGGATGATGGTATTGTTATCATCAAGATTAATGACAGATTCACCAGAGTTAGGCATTGTGACGGAGAAGAAGAAAGAAAGCAATTTAGGGAAGCAAAAGGAAGAAAGAATTTTTAGGGGAGAGCCATAGGGTTAAGGAGATCGGAGCGCAGCTCTGATACCATGTGAATGCTTAAAGACGTGATTTGCATTGATTAGGATTGTGAGATTAATACCAAAGATTACACTGGAAACCAACGTAATAACAACAAAATAATAATTTAAAATATTTAAAATATATCATTATCAGCTATTAGAGATAGATTAGGAATAATCTTATATTTTCTTGTCTTTCTAGTATAGTTCTTAATATTTTCGTGTCCTTCTAGTATTACAATGATTGTGGTTCTCTTACTTATTGTCCAAGTCTTGTAGTCTAATAAACCACTTTGTGGTTTCATAATAATACAAGTTACAAGTTACTATTCATAAAACTCGTATATGATATGAGAAACTCTTTCTTAACGGCGTTGATCCAGGAACCCTGAAACCTTGTTTTCTTTTGTCGGCGAGATGAGCCCTCACTCACCCGGTCCTCTTTCTACCGCAGCTTAACCCAATGTATCCATGTTCATATTATTATTCTTCCTTTCTACTTTATTTTGTTAAGTTTTCGTTTCATTCAACCAAATAAAACTAATAAATAACATCCCTTTATCCCAAATTTTCTTCTATCCTTCGTCCCCAACCACAGTATACCATGTCACCATAGTCCAATTGTCCAAACGTATCATCCTCAAAATAAGTCCGTTTTGGTTGCCCAGATTCTCGGAGACTGCTTGTTGCTTCGTCGATTGATCACTGTCGCCTTGTCGTTGGAGATCAAGATCCAGTTTTTATAAGCCGACATTATCGTGTTTACCTTATTTTCAGATTGTTGCAGAATTATATGGCGGAGCCAGGGTCATCCTCCAACCATCTCTTCTTCACGTGTATGGAACGAAGAAAGCTTCTCCAACAATGGTCATTCAGATGAATGCCTCGTGTCCTACACCAGTTTACGTTTATTGGTATCGTTAAAACCAATTAATTAATCTCATTTCTGTTCAAATTTTGATGGTGATTAAGTTTGGTTGCAACCTATGAATTGCTAGTTTGATTATTTCTTCTAGACGGCGGTTAGTTGGCTTCTCTCTTCAAGCACGAGAATTCAATGAGTTTGCATCACATTCTACACCATCACATTGTGGAGCGTGTTCTTCAAGATTGGCGTATTTTGGTCAAGATTGATGTTGTTCTTCGCACCATCGTCTCGCGAGGGCGTGTTAGAGATAGATTAGGAATAATCTTATATTTCCTTGTCCTTCTAGTATAGTTAGTATTCTCGTTTCCTTCTAGTATTACAATTATTTTGATTCTTTTACTTATTGTCTAAGTCTTGTAGTCTATATAAACTCCTTTGTGGTTTTATAATAATACAAGTTACAAGTTACTATTCATAAATCTCCTATAGTAGCAATAGATATTGCATACCTTCAAGTGGCTGTACAAAGGACAGAAGAGACCATGAACATTTACTATTTAAGCTGGGGGTCAAAATGGGATGCTTATGAGCATGATCATAGGGTTGTGCTGGATGAGACTCAAACTTGGCGTACTGAGACCGATGCTATACTTTAGAGCCTAGTCGAGGAGCAGATGAGAGACCATGAGATGCCATAGAGATAGGGTGCACGGATGAGAGAGTATGCCTCTTCCTTTTCTAATTGCAGGTTGCTTGGATGACTTGGAGTGAGGAGCTACGAGCCCTAACCCAAATTGAATGGGATTGGATTCAAAATCTGATCAGACATTGGCAAAATCTTTTGTTCTTCATTTCTTCGTTGAGGATTTTCATAATTTATAATTTGTATGTGTAATAGTAATCATTTAAAATTTTCCATGATTATGGTACCATTGCAAGATATCTTGAAGCTTAACTCAAACCTGTTAGTAAATGCTATATGATACATAATTGAACATCTTCCAACAATTCAAGTTATCGGGATTAACTAGTTTTTGACATGAGATCAAAGCCTTCTCTGATAGAGAGGTCTTCTGTTCGAATCCCGATTACCCCCATTTGTTCTGTTGAGCACATAGAATCTAGACCTATACAAACTTCAATCCTATATATGGTGGTTTTCGTTTGAGGGGATATGTTCGTATACGATCATCAAGAAACATATCCTTAGTGAATCGTTGGAGATCACAAAGTCGGGAAGCACCGATCGTGGACCGGTAAGTGTTACGATCCTCTTTCTCTCAACACTAGAAACATTCATTTATGCAAATTTTCAGTTCCGCATATTTTGTCACCTGTTATTCATCTTGTCTTAATCCACTTTTATGTTTAATTAAACGTTTTCATTTTGTTCACAGTTGTTAAAATTGAACTGATAAAACCAAAACCCTTAAGCTATTCCGGTTCGGACCAATCATTTCGCCGCCTAATATGTCTTGATCGCTTGATTACCGGTTCAAACGGATAACCATTCGAACGGGATGAACCGATCAACCGGTTGAAATCATTAATTGCTCTGTAGTTTCCTTTAGTCCCTCGATCTGGGCATGTTGCGTAGGAGATGTGGAAACCTTTAATTCCATTATTTCTGTTATCTCTGACCCATCGAGTAAATTGTATTTTCTCTCACCCCGCTAAATCTACTGGCGGTTTTTTCAATTTTTGGTAATTTTTTTATATTTTGGGTAATAATATGACAGATTAGATTTTTCAGTTTTTAGGTTACTTTATCACTATTCTCTTAAATTTGTTTAAAAGTAATGTATTATAATTTATATATGGTTTAGTGTTATTATGTGTGTACTTTTTAAAATCTTTTTGTTTATAAGGTATTGGTTCATTACTGGTTTTCAACGGTTGATTATCAATTAACCACCAAGTGTGAAACATTCATTATACCGGTTCAAATCCCGATTCAGTTCTCATAACATTGGTTTTGTTTCAGTTGAAGGTCTTTTAATTGGAGTAAAGTGGGTTGAAAATCACTTTGGAACGTGTCTTTTGTGGGCTGTACATAAAAACGAATTTCCTTATTTTTGTGGGCTTAATTTCTGGCCCATAGTTTCCTTAACACTGCACGTTTTGAAGAAACAGAATTGGAAGCCTATTGAGGGTACTTTTCAGATCAAAGTCTCATTTTGTACTAACCTAGAGAACGCAGGTCGAAGAATTGAAAGATGACTGCTGGTGGGATTGACTCAAATCCGAGACTTATGATGAGAGGTAATTTCATAAGTTTAATTTGCCCCTTCAAACTGGACAAAAAATGATGCCTGCATATATATTGTTATTTTACTCTTCCATAGAAAATACTGATGAACTTGTACGGCAACACTTAAAATAAAGACCAGCAATGTACAAAGCATGTGATTGCAATAATGGACCGACTGAGTTGTGCCACATTTTAACAACAACAAAAAACAGTCACACATTCTTTAGTTAAATACTTAATCAATTACATAATAATAATTTCAGAAACATACTGCATGAACTCCTCGTCCTTCTCCAGTCCAGCCATAGTTTCAGGTGCCAACACCACCTCAAGATCAACGGTCCCGTTCCCTTCTCTCCCGGGGAAGGCCGAAATCTTGCCGTCGAACTTGTTGGCCTTCCCGCTCCTGATCGCCAACGGCCGGCCCCACCCGAAATCATTGTTGTACATCGGGAATCTCGGGGAGCTACCCATGGTGATGGACGCGCCGTCGAAGTTCCCCAGAGGGAACAAACGTGGGTCCTTCTCCCAGTTCGCTACACCCTTCCGCACCGTAGCATCCCCGTGTGCGACGACGTTTTTGTGCAACAAGTCCGCGCCCCAGCCCAGGTCGTTAGCCAACAGCTCACCGGCCGGGGCCAGAGTCGGGATGCTCTGTATCGCGTTCCCAAAGTAGTAAGGGTGGAGCCGCGGCTCCAGCCGGTGGCGGCAGTTGACTGCCATCCGGAACGTCGTCATCTTGCTCGGCGGCAGGTTCCTCGCACGTGTGACGGAGCGCCACAGTTGCGCGCTGAGCGACTGAAACGAGGAGACCTCGAACGGAGCCGTTTTGTTGCCGCTCTTCAGGTCGTCATTATTCGTGACGCCCCCGTCCCCGTTGACGGCGGCTTTCCAGTGATCGTTGCCTTGCTTCCCCAGAACCTCGATTAAATTGACGGCGGCGGCGTTGCTGGTACTGCTATTGGCTCTCTGTTTCAGCTTCAAGATGGCTTCCCTGCTGAAATGGAAAACCCTCTCCCGGAGTGGCACGTCGCCGGAGAAAGTAACTTTCGGTCCGCCGGTGGGGAATTTCAGCACGGCTGGGGAGTTGAACACCGTCTTCCTAGAGAAATCGGGGGGATTCGAGATCTTCTGCGCCCCTTTGCAAAATTCAGCCAAAGTGTTGAAGAAATGCCAGAAAGAGGTCCCGTCGGTGACGGCATGATTGACGACACAGCCGATGAAGACGGCGTCAGCGAGCTCCGTGAACTGTACGGCGGCGAGGGGCCGGGAGTGTCCAGAGTAACTAATCGTGTTGTCGAACGGGAAAAATTCCTTGACGAATTCAGGGACGTCCCCTGAAGTAAGGATGTCACGGAGGAAGATGTGGCCTGCTTTGGCGTGGATGAATTCGACGCCGGCGTCGTTGCAGGAGATGTGGATGTGGCCTGTGGGATCGGTGACGAGGCGGCCGGCGAGGGCGGGGAAGTGGGAGAGGGCGAGGGAGAGGGAGTGTTTGAGGAATGTGATGAGATCGATGGAGGAATAAGGAGGGCGGGAGAGGAGAACTCCCTTCTGGATGTAGTGGCAGGAAAGCATGGGGAGATCGGAAACAGAGAGCTTGAGGGTTTTGACGGCGGCGGGGGTGGATTTGAGGGGCGGGATGACGGTGCATTTGGAGACGACGGTGGTGGAAGACGACGGCATCTTGCTGTGTTTTGTATGTCTGAGAGATGGATGGATGGAAGGAAGAGTTGGGGGGAGATATGAAAAGGCAATGGAGGAATTGGGGAGTATAAATAGGAGAAGGAGAACAGGGGAGTGGCAGAGTGGGGACTATGGGAGAAGTTTGGATGCATGAACTTAATTTTTGTGGTAGTTGACTAGTTGTACATATACTTCCCCTGTTTTACAGTCCATGACATGATGATGATGATCGATATTCTTATAGATTGATGGCCCACGCAGCTACTAGGTGTTTGTGGGTCACTTGGTTGATTTGGACTATACTACCACCGGCGAAAATTTCCAAAATACCCATGTTAGGTCCGGTTTGAGAGCGATGCGAAAGTTATTATTGATAAAATTAATTAAACTGATACAAAGGATAACAGTTTGGGTGCGGTCCTTAAAAAGATAGGTCATCACTTTCGTGTCCATTATGGGTTTAGTGTGCGATTTATAGGTCGGGAGAACAATAGAGTAGCTCATTCGGTAGCTAGAAAAGCGCTCTCTTTTACTAAAATACAAGAGTTGGTAACAAATTGCTTCAATGTCAAACGAACTAAGCAAAGCTTCGCCTGATATTGGAGTGATCTCGTCAAACGAACCAGTTCGCGCTACTACTCGATCCAGCCGCTGGCTCTATATAGATCGCTGGCGTCAAACGTGATCCACCATGTCTGCAAGGCAATAACACAAAACCGTCCATAGTGCTTTGTCTTTTTTCTTAATTGATCTCAATTAAGAAAACTTCAATTCCTCCCGAGAAATATATAGAAATATATTTTTATTAACACGACTGGATAAGGGAACAAAGATAAATCAGAATTCAGGAAGGACCATACCGTTTAATAATTATTATCTAGTACTATATGTACAGAGGGCTATAGCATGCATTAAGAAAAGAAGGTAAGCAAGGGTGAGTAAGGGTAAGTGAGGGTTACGTGGGTAGATATGGTTGCTCGCTGGATACATCATCAGCTGCAATTTGCTTTGCTGCCACAGCTAATGTTGGAATTTGGGCATGAATTGCAGAATCAGGAAACTATATATAACGTGGGAATTCGGCCGGCCTAGGAAACCATCGACCGCGCGAGCCAGCATTTCCTGTCCAATGAGAATCAGACATTATATTACTCGCTGATCACCTATAAGTAAAAAAAATCATGGCTGCTAAGTACTGTTGCACAATATGAATGTCAATCTTCACACTCATATATCACGGTCCAAGATAGGGTCAGTAACCACTGGTTGTAACCACTGGTTACTGACCCATCAGTAACCACACCGGAGCCGTAGGATTGGGAATGGAGCAATCGTGTGGCTGGGCTGGATGTGGGGTGGGGAGGGGCATTTTTGTCCGTTTTTGTATTTTTAATTTTTATTATTCATTCCGCATTTCAATGACTGACTTTTCAATGAAAGAGAGACAATGCATTTTCTCTGCAACTCAACTTTCTTCCTTCTCTCTTCTTTTCTTTCAATCTCTTTCCAGATCCTTTCTCTTTCTCTATTCCTTCTCTCTTACTTTTTCTTTCAGAATCTCCTTTTCAAATTTAGATCTGCTCTCTTCCTTCTTCATTTTTTTTCTCTAGCAATCGACTAATAAAAATTGTAGCCACTCTCTTTCTTTGCATTTCTTCTCTTCATCAACTCGTTGGCCTCAATTCCGATCTTTCTCATTTTCTTGGCATTTTGGTGTTCTTGATTGAGGAAGAGGAAATGAGAGGCATCAGAAGATGATTTTTTCTCTCCCTCCTATGGTAATGTATGGTATTGCGTGGTAACGAAATATATATTGATATTACCACTCTATACCATATGGTAATGTATGGTATTGCGTGGTAACGAAATATATATTGATATTACCACTCTATACCATATGGTATTGTGTGATATTAACATACTATACCATATGGTATTGTGTGGTAACGAAATATATATTGATATTACCACACTATACCATATGGTATTGGGTGGTAACGAAATATATATTGATATTACCACACTATACCCTATGGTAATGTATGGTATTGCGTGGTAACGAAATATATATTGATATTACCACTCTATACCATATGGTATTGTGTGATATTACCACACTATACCATATGGTATTGGGTGGTAACGAAATATATATTGATATTACCACACTATACCATATGGTATTGGGTGGTAACGAAATATATATTGATATTACCAAACTATACCATATGGTATTGGGTGGTAACGAAATATATATTGATATTACTACACTATACCATATGATATAGACTGGTAATAACTGGAAAAAAAATTTGTGTCAAAAAAATATCAAAGTGGATATCATTTTGAAGAGCATAATTAATCTGATCTAACTGTGCAAAAAAAAAATTAAATTTCAACTTAAAACGAGTGAGAAATCGTCCGTTAAAGATTAAAAGAAGGAAAATTAAAGGTTTTTCGATGAGAGAGAATGAGGTCCTGATGTGGTCGGTCAAAAGTCAGCGCGTCAGCAATAAATATGGGATAAGTGCATTTTACCTTACTGCCCTTTAGCATTTAATTTAAATAAAAAAGTAACTAACACGTGAAGAGAGGAGGGAGGGGTTACTGATGGGTTACTCACCCATTAGTTACTCACCCGATCCGCTCCCATTGATCACTTATTAGCTAGGAGTGTCTTTAATTACATGTCTCATCAAAACTCGTATTTTTATTTTACGTACCCTAACGTATATACTACATAATAATTTATTATTTATACTATCGTCTGCAATATATTTGTACGTAGGAGGTAAGAGAATGATATATATAAATTTTGTATTTATTTGATTCTCTCCAATAATTTGTGACTTGGAATGACCTAACATCAAATTATTAACAAAGAGGTGTTATGTTAAAATTCTCATGACTGAATATAAACATACTATTTAAACTTCAAATTCATGAAATAGTTTTCGTTTTAAGAAAAATATAAGAGGAGAGTAGAAAATTCATCTTCGTACTCTCCAAAAGAACTTCAATTATTGAAATGAAATTGGCTTTTCTTTGAGATTAGTTTAACGTCCATAATAAATTATGAAGCTTTTTAAGTATTGATCTTTGAATGTAAGATGGAAGAATAAACGTACTTACTGTTGATGAAGCATAAACCTCTGAAACGAATATGGATTCTTAAACCTATATATGTTTGATTGCTTGTTTGTTGCATGTACCGACTTCATTCTTTTGTTCCTCCCTTTACATGTGTACCAACAATTCGCCGGTATCATCATGCCTTTGTACCTTTTAAAATTCTAGAATTATTTCTGCAATCGTTAGTAAATAAGAATAACTACCCCTTGTTGCGAGGTGGAGATGGTCAATTGGCATGTATTATGTGGTTCGTTATAGTGTTTTGTTAAGTAATATTATCATAAAATTAATTTTTTGTTATCAGTTTTGTTAGTAATATTGACTGAGAAGAGATACATGGTGGTCAACATCCAATTTAAAATTTTTGAATATTTTGTTAATAAATAATATTTACCTAAACCCTTGTAGACCCATTGATTATCAGTAGGGAATAGGGTATGGGTGACATATGTATTGTTTTTTAAGTTTTTAGATGGGTTTGGGTAGGGTATGAATTTTTCTTTCATAATCAAAATGTGTATGTGTTGGGTATGGGTAGCCATTTATTCGAGGGTGTTTTAATTACACATAAAAAATTAGACATATTTCTAGAACATCAAAAGTTTAGGTACCAAAATGTTATACACAAATATTTTAGGTACTAAAATGTAAGGTTCCAGCAATATTTTGAGGACTTATATGCCAAAAAAATAAATTTAGGTTATAAATCTAAAGATCTATTAACTTTAGGTACCGAATTGTAATTTGCATAGTTGAGGCTTAATTCCTTTTATGGTGATGCATTTAAGATGATAATTATTTACATTTTTTATAGAAAATAGGAAACTATTTATTTGAAATGTATAAATGTTGAAAATTCTAGCCCAGGTGAAAAAGAAAAACTCTAGAGAGTAGCAAAAAGAATACAAACTGGAACTCGCTTAAAATTTCACGCCTTAAATTCTATAGTGGAAAATGACGACTTCTAATTAGTAATAACCATATATATTTGTTTTTAATTGCACTCGACATTAAGCTGAAAAAGTTAGTGGGTTCAATTATAAATTTTCTAAACTGTTGGTCAGTTGTGTATGGACCCATTCATACTTGTGATTAGAATACCTAAAAATAGTATACTAATTGGGGTTAGAAGAAGAAGGCAAAGAAAGAAATAAAAAAAAGGATTGTGGAAGGCGAGTGAAAAATGAAACGAAGAGAAAGTAAATGATGGAAAGGTTTGATCATTTTTATAGTTATATTAATTTTAAATTATTATTTGTATTACTACTGATTTTTTTAAACATTGTTCTATTAAAATATCATACAAAAACTTCATTCAGATCAATATCTTAATGTACTCGTATTATATTTTACTAAATATGTTGTCACATCACCGAAAAGAATGTTATTTTTTTAAAATGGTAATTATTATTTCAAATGGATAGCATACATATTTTTTTAAGTAAAAATCTCATGGAAGACCAAAATGGTCGAATCTTCTCATATAGTTGAGTGAAACAACATCTTGCATGGTATAAACTAAATTTATACTTTGATGTTATGTGGATTGGATTCATGGATTGGTGGATTGGATTCATGGATTCAAGTGAAATCTAAACATTGGACCAATATGTAAATTTAAAAAATTGCCGGTACGAAAACTCATAAAATTTAGATACCAAAACATAATTGTTCAATGATTTCACACGAAAATTAAATTTGGAGTATCAAAATATAAAATGTACATTATAATGACTAAGTTTTCATTTAATTAAAAAAATTATTTTTGGTCACTCAAGTTTTGGATAATAAGAAATAAAAGGCTCACCATAGTTATCTCTCTTCTCTCTCTCTTCTCTCTGAATAGCCCTAGGGTTTTGGACGGCGGCCTCGTCGTTGGAATCTGCTCCGACGACGGGCAAGGGACCTGGGGGGAGTACTTGGGCATAACTGTTCGAGGTCCCTCAGGAGAATCGGACGAAATTTCACTCTCCGGAACGGGTGAATGACGGGTTTCGAATTCCGCGTGAGGTGAAGAAGAAAGGGGAAGAGCGCTGGCGTGATTGCCTTATCGGGCAGTTTGTTGGTGCACAACCAAAGGTGGCTCAGCTTCAGACTTGGGCTACTCCAATTTGGGGGAGAGATGGAGTTGTTCGCGTCTCGCGATATGGGTCTCGAATGTTTGTCTTTCAATTCCCTTCTTCGTCAACGAGTAAGTGGGTTTTCAGGTCGGGGCCATGGCACTATCAAGGTAACTAGCTGTATCTTCGGAAGTGGACTCCTGGTATTCAGCCGGTGACTCCGCTGGTTGAATCACTCCCTATCTGGGTTACA